CTTTTCTCACAGGCGGATCAGGACCTGACTACCCCAGAGAAAACCAGATCAGAGCACGTTAGAAATTTCTGCAGAAAACAGAATTCTCATCAGAAGAAAGGCAGGTTTGCAGGTCCCACAATATTTGGTCCAGAACATCCTTGTCTGAGGAAACTCTTAGCCAGTCCTGATGAAGATGGGACATCCTGGCCTGTTCCCAGGCTAAGAGGCAGGGAACTACAGATGTACCTTGCAGTTAATGTGGTCCTTGATGCTGACGGGAATGCCATAGAGCAGCCCCTTCTCCTTCTGCTTCTTCACTTTCTGGAGTTGATCTTCACAGCCATGAATGAAGTCTGTCACACAGTTCACCTCCCGAGTCACCTCCAAAGCCTCTCCAGAACACAGAGGAGCAGCAAGACAGATGAAAGGATGGATGGAAGGAAATAGTATTTAAATTAAGTTTTCAAGCTGAAAATTCCATCTCCTCAAACCTCCAGCATTCATTATTCAGACCTTACCTATAAACTTGAGATGTTTCTTGCTTGGATAATTTTCTGCCCTGGATCTCTGTCCTACTGATTTGCTCATATGCCACCCTTCAGACATCACAGTTCTGACAAACTGTGATCCCCAGCATTGCCAGTTCTCTTAGCAAATGAACTGGTTTTTAATTTGAAAGTTCCCACTGCAGAAGAGCCCTACAGCATCTCTCCCATGCTGGAGGTATCACTCACTTTGCCCATGTAAGAGTAGAGGACACTTTCTGGGGACAGAGACCCCTCCTTCAGCTTCTCCACCAGCTCCACCATCGTCAGTGAGAGGATATGTGCAGTCTGGGTGCCTGGGTTCTGCAAAGGGTAGGAAATTGGGTGCACAGGGAAGAAAACAACAGAAAAGGCTGGTGTTGAGGCTGAAAATACCCAATTCTAACATCTGCCCAGCAATGATCTTGACTGGGGAATTTTAGGAGACATTCCTTGTAGAAATACAGGCCTCCTACCCAGCATTGCACATGCTGGAGTGGGGAATTTGCTGACAGGGAATTTGCAGAACCTTAGTTCATAAAAACAGAACCAAAACAGGCAGAAAACTGCTTCTTTACTGGAGAGTTGCATGAACCTGTAAGAGATGTTTCACCTGTCTGTTTACTTTCCTGCAGGCTTTCACCCCCCTTCTAACTCACAGACAATGTGTTGAATAGCAATTCAACCAGCTAAAGTTTTACAAAATTTATCATTAACATGGGGAAAAAAAAAAAAGTGTGTGGGCTGTTTGCAACCTCTGCCCCAAGAAAAAAAGAGCAGTGGGTATTTATTATGGGTTTAAGACAAATCCTGAATCCAAGGATCTGACCTCCTAAAATCCAAGTGCTTCTTTACCTGGGCATGGACAGGAGGAAATGGCTTTTGGACACAAGTGTGCAGATGTTGGAGAGATGTGAAGCCTGCCCTGTACTTTGAGGATGATGTGGCAGACAGATCCCTATGGAGGCACAGAGGGGAGGAGGACGGGAGAGGAAAGGCTTGGCAGTAGGGACAGCTGAGAAGAAAAAGGCAGAGAGAGGTCTGGGGTAGGGATCTGATTCAGAGGGTTCCAAACTCCAATCCATCTTTCATCCTCAGGATTCCCTCAACAGGTCTGTATTAAGAAATACTTCCTTTACACTGTCTTTACAGGAGGTTTTTTTTGTGACACTGGAGGGTGGTGACCCTCAAAAAAATTGGTGATGATCCAAAATGTGCATGCACATGCCCTAACCAGCACCGAAAAAGGGATTGATCAGCACTCCCCCATTTCTTCAGTTTCCCAAAATATAATCCCTTCCTCCCACAAACACTTTTTCCCAAATTACCTCTTGCTTAAACCTGTGAGCTGCCTTCTCCATCCGCTCCAGGGCCAGATCCCGTGTCCTCCTTGCGTCCTCCATCTTCTGCTGGATCTGCCTATGTCTCAGCCATTTCAGTAGCACAATGGCTGCAGCTGAACTGCAGAGCAGAGCTGAGAGGGTGCGAGGGTCTCCCCACGATGCATCTAGGACCTGCCACAGTCGCTCTTGGGTCATGATTTCTCTCCCAGTCTGTCCTGTTCTGGTCCAGCTACAGACACCTGAGTCTCCCACCTTCTCCTAAGGAAGGCTGATGAATGCAAAGTATGCGACTGCCTGCTATGCAAGACCAACTCTGAAGCAGAGTCGCATTAACAAAGTCCAGGAATGGACTTTTGAGACCATGGACTTTGAAAGGGTCTGCCTGACAGAGAAGCATTGTGGGTCAGGCTGCAAAGCAGCATGCTCAGCTCACATCGGGTTTGGGGGGGTGTCCCCCAAGGCTGTGTCTCCCCAAGCCAGTGGCTGCTGCTGCTGTACTTGGCCACACACAGGGGACAGAGCTGATTAACAAAACCAAATGGCTGCAAAACCCAGGTCTGGGCTATCCCTACTATACCCACATCTAATAATGAATTAGCACTGAAGCCCATGAACTAGAGGTGCTCAGCCATCATCTCTGTTCCTCAGGCAGCAGCGTGTGTGGCCCTTTGAGCCTGGGACAACACAGTTCTGCTTGTCTTGGGGAAGCTGGTGCAGGAGTGAAATAGCACCTCTTGGAGAGAGGGAGCTCAGGAGAACCAAGAATATGAAGGAGCAAGCAGGACACAGTGACTCTGGAAAGGCAGAGTGGAAGGAGCTATCTGAAGAAGCCTTCAAGGAATATGACTGCTCTGTATCATTTTCAAGTCAAGCCCCTTTGAAAAGCCTTTTGGCAACCCACATCAGGAGGTGAGCACTTTTGGGAAATCCCTCTGATGGACCCAGCATCCGATCTGCTCTCCAGTTTCTAAGCCACCTTCCAGCCAGCACAAGGCAAAGGAGCTGAACCATGTAGGCCCACCAGCCCCAGGAGCTGTCCCTTGCCACAAGTGCTCCCCACCCACGGGACTGTCCTGTGGCTTGGTGTGGAAAGGAGGGGCTGAAAAAATTAAGCTTCTCTCAAACCTTGAGGGTCTGCAAGCCCACGGGGAAGGAACAGGGGATACCTCTGAAAGTTCACTGCCAAGACATAAGGCAGTGTTGCTGTATCTGGAGAGATGCTGACTCTGCTCTAGGCAGAAGGGTAGCAGAGCTTGTAAGGAGGCTGCATCCAGGGTGATCATTGCTCTCTGGTGGAGAGGTATTGTTTGAGGACCAAAAGCCTGTGATCGTGCTGTGATCATGTTACCTTGCCTGTTACAGACGGGTCCCATGGGATTATTCCTGGGGCAGCAGGGAGGGAGCCTGGGGAAAAAGCAGGTTGGTTGCTGACTGGAAAAGGGAGGCGGATCCTCCCTGTTTGGCCAGGATGGAGAGCAAAAAGAGCCAAACAACCCAATGTGGATGTCACCAACCTTTCCCACTGACTGTGGGAATGAGGTCTTCGATGCCCCATCCCAGCCTTAAGCTTCAGTGCTGCCATTCACACCAACCTCCCTCTGTCCAGTCTGGGCTGGGAGCAGGCTGCAGCTGGCCATTTTTGGCAACCTCAGTCCCCACAGACACACAGCAGCTTTGGCCCTGCCTGGTGCAGTGTCCCTTGGCAATAGTCATGGCTTCCTGGAGGTCTTCTCTCAGGGCTTCCAGTAAGGAATGTTTACTGGTTCAGGTTCACTGGCCTCTCCATCGTTTGGACACCTGCACCCTGCCCATGTCTGTGCCAGGGAGAGAGCACTTAAACCAGCAGAGCCTTGCAGCGCTCAGCTCTCCAGGAGCACGGGCGCACGGGGCATGGCCTCTCCTGGGATCAGCTCCTCCAGGCTTGAATTTTAAATTACAGATAAATTGCAGAATTTTTAAATGCAGATAAACCTCATCCCTCATTTCCTGTGTGGGCAGGGAGCACTTGCAACTGGTGAAAACTGAGCTCCACCCAAGCTCTTTTGGGGCTTGGTTTTACATAGCATTCGGTCCTGGGATGCCTGGAGCTCCCTCCCTCCTTTTTGCAAAACCTGGTGATATAGAACCAGGGTCTTGAGGGTTGTGTTCTTCTAGGCTGGGATAAACCTCTCTGCCCAGCCCTTGAAAACACTCCATGCTTTTGCATGACTCTAGTTTAAACAACAGTAACACATTAAAAACCCAAACATAAATCCTGACAGAGCTTCATTACAATCTGCCTGTGAGGCTGCTGCACTGGGAAAACACGTTTGCGTTGTGGTATCACTTTCTGGAGCACCCTTGGAAACCTGTCAGGAGCAGCCGACACTGCCAATCCTGGAGCCAGAGGCTGCCAGCAGCTGGAAAACCCCACTGGAAAACCTGGTGTGGCCCTCTGCCAAACGGGAGGAGAGGGCGTGCAGGGCAGGCTGTCTGGCTGGCCACCCAACCCTAGCACGCTGCTTTGTACATGCAATCCTGTCAGCTGAAGTACTTTCTACCTCCACTCCGTGGAAAGCAGGAGTAGGCATCTAAAGGAGCAGGGAGTTAACGATCACTCCAGATTTGCCCTCACTGGTGTGCATCGTGCCAGCAGCCCTACGCTGTGGGCAGCGGTCCAGCTCCCTCCCTGCTTGGCAGAGTCTGCAGACAGCCTCAGCTTTGACCTTAGATAGCTGGTTTGTAGCAGGGAAAACACCAGATTTCATCCTCAGGGAGCTGAGAACAGAGGGGAAAACCCCTTTTCTACTTCTAAATAGGAGTCTGAACATCTTGGATAAAACCAGTCCCCAGGCCTCAGTTTTCCCATTTGTAAGAGAAAGATCATGTTCTTGCACTTCCCCAGAGGGTGTTGAGAGGGTTATTAAAATCCAGCCCAACCCTAAACACAAACACAGACCCAAAATAACAGACCTTCCAATAACAAAAAGTACTGTATTAGGACAACGACTGGAAGTGCTCCACCACCACGGAGCTCGCCTCGCTCTCCCCAGCCAGCCCAGCCATCACCGCATCCTCGCAGAGGGGAACAAGAGTCCCATGGGCAAGTCAGACCAAAGCATGACCTGCACTGACGTTAGCTGAGATCTTGCTCTGGATGAGCAGACAGGACTCAGATGAGACTGTTTTCCTTCAGGACAAGCATCTCCACTTCCTTCATGAACCGGAGGCACAGCTCCTCCTGCCACGGCAAGGCCACGCACTGCACAGCCACGGGCAGCCCCACGCTGCCACGAAAAGCCTGCGGCACAGACAGAGGGAGAGAGAGGGCAGGGGGACATCCAGGGTAAGGGACGGGGATGCTTGTGTCCCTGGGGAACCTGGCGTGACTCACCTTTGCCAGGGTCCGGTCCCACCAATCCCGAAAGTACCCTTGGTAGCCCTTCAGCTCTTCCTCATCCTCATCTGTCACCATTGTGACGGGGACCACACCGACAGGGAAGTCCAAGGCATTGTAGAGCATGGTGTAGCTGACTGCCACTGGGGAGAGGGGAAGCTCTCAGCGCCAGCCCGCCGCAGGGAAAGCCTTTGCACCCCTCCACATACACAAGTTTCCAGTTAACAGGGCATTTGAACTGGGAATTCAGGGGCTGTGAGATGGAAACCTGCACCTTGACTCCTGCGTGCACTGGGGGTGTTGTCCCGGGTGTACCCCATGGGCTGGACCTGCAGCTGCCCCAAGAGCTGAGCTCTTCCCACTGCTGGCCAGTGCCCTGGGGATGTGAGTGGAGGAGGAGGAATGCTTCCCACTGATACTGGTGGAGTGCTGCAGCAGGAGCACACTGGAGGCAAAGGTCCCCCCATTGGCAGTCCTACCTGAGAGCTTCCCAGGGTAGCCGATGCCAAGAGCTGGGCCCAGCATGGGACAAAGCATGACATCCAGATTCAGCTTTTTCCACTGAGCTATGAACTGGTGACAAAACTCCTGAGGGAGAAACACACTGGTGGTCAGTGGGGTGGATGTGCTGTCCCATGGCTGCTGGCTGAGGCTCTCCTTGGATGCCCAGCCAGGTTCTTGGCCCTTCCCCAGCAGCAGCCATGAGGTTGCATCACATCTGATCCTGCTAAAATCCAGCAACCCTCTGCTGCTTGGCCAGCAGCCCTCCCATCATACAAAGCACCCACCCCTTCTAAAACTGGAGGTGGAGAAAGATTGCGTGTGGGGGCACATGGCAATGGGTTAAAGGCGAGTTTGCTGCAGCTGATGGCCCATTTTTTAAGTGCAGGAGTAAAAAATTCAGGTGTGATATGGGATCATGAATGCATCTACGTGTCATCCTAATCTTCAAATGTGCTGAGAACTTGCACATCAAAGTGAGATCTGTTGAGGAGTGATGTATGTTCCTACCTCACATCACCAGTGATTTGATCATCTTCTAAACTTGGTGGATACTGAATGTGCCTCTTCCCAAAGAGAAATAAAAAAAACTATCTAACTCCAAATTGCAACACTTTACCTCAATTTCACAATGAAGACTCCAGACTTCATCCACTGTGCTGAAAAAGGAAACAAAACCAATGAAAGGTATCAAGAGGTGCTGCAAACAACAGCTTTGGGGTCAGGGAAGAGCATAAAAAACCAGATGGGCACAGGTTAGCTCTGCTCCTGGAGCTGCAGAGAAGGGAAGAGAGGACTTTGTCAAAGTCTTGGCTTTCCTCTGAAGGGCTGGGGGTCTTATTTCTGCTTCTGCCCATGAGGGAGGGCTGAAGACTAAAGGCAGATTTGTGCAGTGCTGCTTTGGTCCTGTTACTGCTGCTGTGCTGAGCAGGTAAAGCCCTGGCACATCATTTCTGAAAGGCCAGGCTGGGTCAGGCGGACTGATCCTTTGACGTGGGGACAGATGTACTGCCTTGGAGGCACAGCACAAAATACACCCTCTCTGCTATGGGATTTGAGTCCTTTCTCACCACTAACTGCTCGACACTGACATGGCAGAAAGGAAGAGCAAGCCTCCTTCCCTGTGCACTTACCTCCCTTCTGCCTTACGGGGTCCCTACCTCATGGCACGACGGCTGCATTAACCAGTGCTGAAGCCAACACTGTATTTCATTCCCACAAGCTTCACCCAGCTCCTAAGCAAGGGGCTGAGAGCCCGCCCTCATCCCCACTCTCAGCACTAGAACCATTTGCCAAACCCTGCAGGGTTACGGTGTTGACATAAACTGCTCTCCGTTTGCTCCCGCCCTTGTGTTTTCTGCCTTGTGTTTTCTCAGATGTATGCAGCTGGGATGGTATCCCTAATGGAGCACACACTGCTGCTCTCCAAGAGAAACCCAAATCTTCAAACATTTCCTCAGGCTCAGATTTACTCACTTTGCTCTCATACTTCTTATGATATCTGAAAATCGAGGTACCTGAAGAGAAAGTTAAAAAATGAAAATAATTTACATTAATCCCAGCCCTGTTCTCTGAGACAGCTCCATCACAAAGACAAGCTGTTGACTCAGTGCTCAGGCAGGACTCGTGGATTTTTTCCCCAAAGTGGGGAGAGAAGGAACAGAAATAGCATCACTCCAGTATGGAGATATGTCTAAGCACAGCCAGGAAGCAATGCCTAGAGACTTCTCTATGATAAAGCCTTACTGCAATGGGAGTCAAGTTATTCACCATCTATTGCTTAACTCCATCTATGCTAGAAAGAAATGGACCTTACGAAGGGTTTGGCAGTCCAGGAGAGGAAAGTTTTTAGCCAGTTTGGTGCCTTCGCCAACCAGAAGAACATCCCCATGCTGCTGCTCTCCAGCTCCCCTTTGCTGAAAGGGAAAAGGGTGTTTAGCTGAGCAGTGTTAGGAAGCAATCACAGTAGATCAGCTCTCACAAGGCAAACCCCTCTGAAGTGCACATCTAAGTGACAAAAAGAGGTTTGCTCCATTGATTCTCACAGTATTTACAGGATATCAGCACCCAGTTTCCTTTCATCTGTCAAGGCTGGTAACAACCCCAAAGAGACCCAGGGTTCAGCTGAATCGCTTCACGGTAAGCTCCCCAGTAAATCCCAGTGCATATCTACACTGCAAATCCCAGTCACTATCTACATCCAGTAGATCTGCTACATGTAACTGGATGCTAGCCAGACCCTAGGGAAGATTTTCACAGAAAGGGACCCATCACACCAAACCATCCCAGGCTATACTTACAATTTCTTGACAAAGGAGGTGCCCCCATCTGCAAACATTCCCCTGACACAGAAGTTAAAGAGCATGTAGTCCACATTTGTGAGTTCGAAGGGCACCAGCTGGGAGGACAACAGAAGAGGAGTCAGTGACACAAGCACAAGCAAGGTGTGTGCAAGAAGCCACTGAGGGCTTGCAATGGGCTGAGCTGGGCTGAGGATTTCCTGACAAGCCCTCAGGAAAGCCTCCAGCATCTGAGGCTGCCAGGTCCTCCCCATCCCATCCATCCTTCCCTGAAAATGCCCTTTTCCCTTTGAGCAACAACTGGCGAGTCAAAAGATACAGGATGGGCTTGGCCACCTGATGTCCAAGCAGCCCCAAGGCACAAAGGTCCCTCCAAAATTGGCAGTGGGTGACAGAGAGCATGAGTCTGTGCTCGCCATTTCACTCCTGATGCTTGTACAAGGGTAAGGGGAAGGCGTGCAGTCACGACCATGCCTCACACACAGGAGATGACTTGCTGAAATGGCAGAGAGGAGGAAGGAGACAGCCTCTGCTCAGCACCCCAGATATCTGAGACCCCAGAAATGGGTCTGGGTCAATATGGTGCTGCTTGGCTATAAAAAATCTGCCATCTGCAACTGCCCTTTTATTTTCTCCTTAGGTCCTTGCTTCCAGACACAAAAACAGGAGGTGGCTTTCCATGCAACATGCAGTAGATCTATGGAACTGCTTGCCAAAGGATGTGATGCAGAAGAGGTGAAATTGGCTTCAGAATACACTAGACAAGTACTTGGACAACAACTTGTCACAGCCATTGAAGAGAGGTGGTCCATCAGGCTCAGAAAACATGCTGATCTGACAGTAATCATATACCACCAGGACTGTAAGCTCCCCGTGGGCACTGTCTCAGGACCCAGGTTGTACAGCACCCATCACTGTGGATCTTAGCCAGGATCTAAGTAAATGCACCCATACTTCAGACAAGTCATACAGCAGTGTGTCTACTCCCCAGCATATGTTATGGATCAGGGTGGGCTCCCTGTTGGGTTTACCAGCACCTAATGAGCACTGAGGTCCTGCTGAGAGGAGAAATCAAGTTGCAATATAAAGAATTTATCTTTCCCAGAAGCTGCTATCTACTTTCATCAAAGCCGTGGGAAGCTGAGTGGATTCCAGGCCCCCTTTCCCTGCCAAATTTGCTTGATGTTCATCTATGAGTCCCAAAGACATGGTAGGAAGGAAGTATAGATGCAGCATGACTATTGGATTCACGCAACATCCTACCGTGTGGCCAGCATCCTCCAACAGCTGCTTTGTCTCCCGAACGGCACGTCTCATGGCAGGGCTTGGCATGGTGAAGAAATCAGTTTCATAGTAGCCTATGCGGAGGGGCTGCGTGCTGGAATACACCTGCGGAGCAAGGGAGAGTGCCAGCTGGAAGGACGCCAGCGCCATCGGTAGCCAACAATACACCCATGCTGCAGGGCCAGTCTCAAAAATAGCTCTTCTTGCGCACATGCCCACCCAGAGCACATGGCAGGATAGAACAGGTCCCAGAGGGCCACAAGAACAGGTCCCAGAGGGCCACAGAACAGGTCCCACAAGCCACTGGCATTTTCAGCCTGAGCAATGGCAGCTCTTCTCAGAGACCTTTGCCCACTTTGAGGTCCTTTACCTCTTCATTGAAGGGAAGGGGGGGCACTGTGCTGTCCAGGCTGAACATGTCCTCGCACAGGAGCGCCCGCATGCACAGCGCCAGGCTCTCCACATCTTTTGCCATTGGCCCCACTGCTGCAGCCACTGGAAGAGATCAGAAGAGAGCATTCATTGCTGGAGGTCCTTCAAAGGCATGTCCTACAAAAGTAGGACCTCTTGGCATCATTTTGACTTAGTCTAGTGTTGTCAACAGTTCCTCTTTGAGAATTGGGCTGGGACACCTACAGGTGTCTTCCCACCAGCAGGCCCATTGTTATGGACCCAGAGTTGTTATCCATCAATATGTGCCCTGATGTCTCCATTTTATTATTTACAAAATCAAACAAAAAGCTTTGTCAATCACAACACAAGGACAACATAAGACACCCTCTTTTGACTGCTAATCCCACCTCCCACGAAGCAGTGGCAGACAACGCAGCGACCTGGGGGTTACAGGGTGTGTTGAGGTTTACATGTTACATAAACTACTCCTCTCGGCTCATGCATATTCCAGTTTCTCAGGAATCACTGTATGTGGGTGGCTCTCTGAAAGAGTTCCTGAAAGGGAACTTGCTTCTTCCTCTGAACATGTTGGAGAAGGTCCCCCATAACCAGCTGAAGGTCCTTCTCACCCCTGCCCTGCTGCCCTCCCTGGGGGACAACCATCGATTCCTACCTGCCTTCTGCCCAAGGACACCAGAAATTATTCCTTTTTTACTGTAAGAAAAGAGACACACAAAATACAGCAGCTGAGTAGCTGTCATTGAAGGGAAAGGCTTTAAGCAGTGGCAAGCAGTAATTAAAACACTGCCCTCCCTTTGCAGATGCAGAGCTTGGCAGAAGGAAGGGCCATGGGGAAGCTCAAGAGAGACCCAACCCAGGACAAAGTGATTTATGCCCTGTCAGTCAGGAACAACCACCCCCTTAGCATGTGGATGGAGAGGTTTCCCCATCTCTAACCTGGAGGAACAAATGGTTCCCTCCATACAGGCCCAAGAAACGTCAGGGCAGGAAGGAGAAACAAGCCCTTCCCAGTTCCTCCCATGTTTCCCCTTTCCCACAGGATTGGGAGCATCCCAGCACAGCAGTTGGTAGGGTGGTGGGTGAGTCTCACCCAGAGACATCACTGCATTACTCACAGTACCTGAGTCTGTTCCCAGTGGGCTTGAGTGCACAGATCCCACAGAAGGCAGCAGGGAAACGCAGGCTCCCTCCTACATCTGTCCCAAAGCCCAGGATGGACCCACCTCCTCCTACAAGTGCCCCTTCTCCACCAGAGGAGCCTCCAGGGCTTCTGGTGTAGAGCAGAGGGTTGAATGTCTGACCAAAGATTAAGTTCTTGCAGTCATAGCTAAAGAGAGAAAGAGATTACAAATGAGAGGAATGTAGATATCTGCTGATGTGGACCCCAGTCACCACAAAAAGACCTTCAGAAGGTAATTAGGTCATTCACTAGTTGTTACATTGACATCACTTAGTCTGAGGAAGCTTCCAAAAGCTCCCATGAAGACCACCAGCCTTTTCATGGCAGTCCCAGGACCTGGATTCACTGCCAGCTAATTTCAGTGTCTTCAAGCCTTCCCCAGGCTTGGAGACAGACCCTCTGGCAGCACAAATACCTCAAGCCTCCTGAAAAACCTCCCTGTTCAGGTGTTCCCAAGTGCCATAGGACATCCAAAGCAGCCCACTTGGAGCAGGTCCAGGTCCCCCACCCTGGGGGACATTGCCGAGTCCCTGCCTGGGAACAGGCCAAATGCCAACTGCAGTATTTGAACATTAGACCCCCTCAGGAACTGGTCCAAAATCTAATAATCCTTGGGGTAACCTCTTTGTGTGTCTTTTTGTAAACATGGTCAGTCATCGCCACTGTGCCTTAAGGAAGGGATTTCATATGGCTTGGGCAATAACCATCCACGGAGGAGCTTTGTCAGAGTTCACCTGGTAGGACACAGGGACACTAGCAGGGTGGCTGTCCAGCAGAGCACACCTGTCCTCAACCCATGTCAGAAAAAAAAAAAAAAAAGAAAGAAAAAAAAAAAAGAAAAGGGATTTAAAAACATCCAGCACAGAAAAGAAGGGCATTGAATTCTCTCCTCTTCTCCTCCTCTTTTGCTTATTTATTTCACTTGGAAGAAGAGTTAATTTTCATCCTTAGTGTAAATACGTTTACTTTTTAAAGTAAAACTTAAAGACACTAAGGATGGGGACCAGGATTTGTTATTTAAAAAGAAGTGGGAAATAAGAATTAGACTTGATAGAAACCCTCCCTTGAGATGTGGAGGGAGGACTGCTGTCACGCTGTGGGAATGGAGCACCCACCTACCTGATGAGGGACTGGGGAACGTTGGTTTTGACAAAGGGAATTGCTCCCTGTCTCCTGAGCACCTGCACCACCACGCTGTCCTCGGCTGCGGGTTTATTGATGTTTTTTATAAACCCTAAGGTGGAATCATGACCCTGAAAACACATGACAATGAGGTTTCCAAATGGAGGATTGCAACTTCCCCTGCCCCCGTATTTTTCTCTCTCTATACAAGCATGGGCATGCACCTCCAACAACCCATCCGTCACATGCACATTGCATTGTGTATTGGTAATCAATCTGACCAGCTTTCTCTGTGTGCTCATATGGGTGATAGGCAGGCCATCCCACATCAACTACGACAAAGTCAAGCCAGACACTGAGGTCAAACCTCCCCCTGCCACCAAACTTCAAACCAGAGGGATCTCAGGACACACACGGTATCGCGCTGGCAGTACCTGGCAGTCGATGGAGTCTTTGATGCTGACAGGCACCCCGTAGAGCAAACCCAGCTTCCCTGTCAGCTTCGCTTTCCGGAGTTGGGTCTCGCTTTCCTGCAGATACTCTGTGATGCAGTTGGTTTCTGTGGCGATTTGGAGGGCCTTGGGGAAAGCAGGCAAAGCCCGCAGTTGAGACACAACCCACAGTGTTGCACAACGGCCTTCTGTTTTGCAAAGGACACCTGCCTTTTCTCCCTTTGCCACCTCCCCATCTGGGCAGTCGGTACCAGGGCAACCCTTTCTGTCCCTTTAAAAGACTTTTTCATGCCAAACTCAAAAACATTCTCTGGACACAGGGCAGGGGCCTTAGCACCAGCTGGTGCGTGATGAAGAGAAGCAAGCAGCTCAGCAGAATACCAAAGGCTATTCTCTTGACTGAGCTTCTGTGGTGGTATAAAATGATAACCTCAAATTGGGAACACCAGAGGTGATAAGGGCATTATGGCAAAAGCAGAGAATGAAAGTGGACACAGTCTTTGAGGTTTACCAACCCATTTGGAGATGGAGGGGAGACAATATTAGCACTCTGCAACTTCTCTATAGCTATACCTGCCCCTGGGAAGGTATGGGCTCTCCAGACGCTGGGCTTGCTGCTCCCCTTTGCTTCAAACCAAGCCAAGAGCCATGGAAGCCAGAAGCCTAGCTCTCCCCTTGCTCACAGAAAAGTGCAGAAGGGCACAGCGCTAACCAGCGAGCGGTGACAGCTCAGCAGCGTTTGAACCAGCATTTGAACCCTGAGTCGGGCTTCTCCCAAGGCAGCCAGCCCTACTGTGGGTGAGACGCTGCCTCAGCACCCTTGCTCCTCACCTTGCCCACGTAGGCGTAGAACACGTGCTCAGGAGGGAGGGAGCCGTCCCGGAGTTTCTTGGAGAGCTCCGGCAAAGGTAGAGAGAGGATGGAGACCATGTTCACAGAAGGATGCTATGGAAAAAAAATTGAACAGGCAATGACACACTTCTACCTCGGCTGGTGAGGTCCTCTTCTCCCCTTGGTGCCCACTGTAACCCATCCAAAAAACATCTGCCATTTAGTGGCCAAATGCAGTACCTGCCCCAAAACCACAGTCCTGCTCCCACCTGATACCAGTAAGCATGGAGTGAAGCCTGCTGGGGCAGCAGTAAACCAGGCTTTCTAAAGCCTAGTTTTCCCAGCCAGACCGGTCTCACCAAGCACCTGCTGTTTGACAGAAAGCCTTTGGCAGAGCCTTGTTCAGACAGGTCTTGGTCAGGCCTGGGGAAAACTGCTCAGTGCAATTACAGTGGGAATTGGCAGCACAGTTATAGACACTGCTCCAGCAAGAAATGAAACTGGACCTGGTGCTAGCTTTTCTTCTAGCATCACCAAGGAAGTGCACAAACCAGGGAGCCCCTCGGCAGACAGGTCATTTTTTGGGTCAGCAGAGATTTCCTCACCACCTACTAAATACCATGAAAAAAACATGAAACCTCAATCCCCAAGCTGGACTCTGAACCCGGGTGAGTCCACTCCAACCACAGGTCGGGCAGTCTGATGGGACTGCAGGGGGAATGCCGTGGCCAAGGTTGATTTCAGGGTACTGGTGGCATCGCATCCCGTCCCTGCGGGCAGCACGGCTGCACTTTGGCCTCTGCTGATAACACACTGCCTCTTTTTCCACAGCAGCCTCCGACCATGGAGGAAGAGGCCAGGAAGCTTTCAGACAAGGGTCAGGGATTTTCCTCTCTTCGCTGCCGGTCTGCTGGCGCCTGCAGTGCAGCGTCTGCCTGTTATGCCCCACTGCACCGGCTGCCCCGGGAAGCGTTTCCTCCCCATCCCTGCTATGGAGGGGACGGCTGCCTTGCTGAGGAGGTGCGGTGCGTGCACACATAGACTTAGAAAGGAAAAAAAATAAATCACAGAATCACCTAGATTGGAAAAGACC